AGCCGGTGTTTTTGTTCCTTCTTTTGTTATCGGCGCTGCTGGTGGAAGACTTGGTTGGTCACATTTAACCTAATTTCTTAAATTTGTGGCCAAATAAAGGGTATGTAATTGTTTGTTAATTTTAGTTGGCGAGATTATGGTGTTTCTCTTTCCGGAAGGAATGCGAGGACCAGGAGGCCCACCAATATACCCTGGGCTTTATGCAGTTGTGGGTGGGTTAAGGTTTTATTAGATATCCAATATCAAAAGATTTTGCATGCAAATTGCTCTGAACGAGGCTTGCGCTGCTCAGAAGGGACGTATAAATAAGATTACACACGTTGTGCTATCTTACCAAAATCTCTACTCCTAACTTCGGTGTAATCGTCATTTTTGTCAAGTTTGAAGTTTTATGAGTCACGACCACCTTGGCCAGACTTGGGTTGAGCATAAGCACCCGACCAGATGGATTACCAAAAGTGGCAGAAAATGAACGAACTCTAGATCAGAGATGTCCAAGACAAGAAGATTAGTTTGATGTTTTCGTGCAGGACTTTTGCTTAGAAATAGAAATGCAAAATTTTCGAGAACTCTCACAACTTTGACCTATTTTGTCTAAAAAGCGGAGAAAGCTGAGGCGTCCATACAAACGCTGCTTCAACAAAGATTGCAAAAAGCTTAGCATTTGGTAATTGGAATGTGAAGTACTCGCAGAAAATGGGCAGTGGCACCATTGTCTTTTACTCTATCGCATGTAAAAAGAAAAAAAGAAAGTAGAAAAATTAGTGGAACTGCATTATAAGCGGCCATCACTGCGAGAGAATATCTAATGGATTCTAACATCAAATTTTCAAATATTGCTATTAAGAATAAGTAACACCGAAAAATATCGTAGTAAGTAATATTTCAAGAAAAAAATTGATTACAGGAGCCGCGGCGTATACTGGAGCTGTCACTCACACCTTATCTGTAGCAGTGATTATTTGCGAACTTACAGGACAACTTGCTCCAATCCTTCCAGTTTTGGTGA